GGGCCCAGAAGCTGACATATTAAATTTCACAGCCAGATAATGAATTATTTTACAAATAATTCCGTTATTGGATGCGATGCATCCAATAACTATTTATTATTACGTAAAACTTACGTCTTGATTGTCTTGATTGTCTTGATTGTCTTGGTCGTCTTTTTCAGTCTTTTTCAGTCGACCATTTCTGGCATTTAAACTTACCTATAGTTGTTATAGTAGTAAATAATAAAGTATTCGCTTCTAAGTGAAGTTCGCCAGGTTACTGATTATTTCTGATTATTTTTACATAGTTAATATTGGCTTTCTTCCGCACGTATTGATGGTATTTACAATGATTTTTTGTTAGTGAAACGTTACATTCTCAAAAAGTACTTTAAAGTGTATAAATAAGTTACCCGGGCAATTAATTTACACCAGCCAATCATACGAAAGTCTTTCTATGTGGGTACATCGGGTAGAATTTTATACCCGGGTAACCCGCCGGATATATCCGTCAGATATCCGGGTAGCATTTTTTTGATCGGGTATCATCACTATTTAGAACTCTATAATATTTTATGGTCTCGTTCGAAATATTTATCTGTGCTAATTTGGTTCATGAATATAGATTTGTTTATAAATCTAATTACAATCGAAGCATATGATAACGAACTTCTTTATAATGAATCCTGGACATAATGAACATGAAATTTTAAATTTATATTAGTTGAGTTTGAAAAGTGTAGATTTTTTTTGTATATCTAACTATTTGATATTATTTGTACAATATAATTCAAGTTTTAAAATTCATTTTATTGAAAAAATTTCAGAAAATATTATGCTTTTTAAATTCGCTACTTTTATTATTACACAAATTAAAAAAACTAATGTAACAAAAGCTTAATGAGAATAATCACCCTTACAAAAAGCTACTGAACCCGTTAAACAAACCAGTAAGTTATATAGTATATTATTTTTTTTGTAAATGAATATACAGTATTCTAACAAATGGATTAGAACCAAATACAAGCATTCTAATTAAATCTCCGTTAGGCCACGCAAAGTTGATTTTTCGTTTTGCATTACCCGCCGTCCCATTTTTTTCAATTTTTCAATTTATTATTTTTTTTTTTTAAATCCCAATTGTGCCAATTGTTCGATTTTTGACATCTATTTTTTTTCCGCTATTTTCATCCGGTATCACCCGATGGAGACCTTAATTTCCCGTAATTGTCCGATAGGACTGACAGGAAAAATATGACTGCCGGCCCAATTTTTTGATTCCTTGTTTGCAAAATATAACCTTAAATGTGATCATTATTCTATTTGCAGTAAATTGATTTAAAAAAAAAAAATTCCGACCGTCCGTCCCTAATTTTGAAATCCATGTAATGCAAAACGAAAAATCAACTTTGCGTGGCCTTATCAAAAACTAAAAACTCTAATGGCAAGTGAATCCATTAATATTGAAGAACAAGAAAGGCTTAAGGATTGAGCATGAAAAGCTTGTGAGTCAAAAGGATAAAATAATGAGTAGAAAAAAGGAATGTTGTGAGAGAACTTTAAAAACTTTTATATAATTGGACTTTTAATTAATATGCACATTGCGAATAGTTATATCGATATATAATAATATAATTTTATTGTTTTAATTAATATCGCAAATTTCAATGTAAAGCGTGTATAAATTAATTGCACCTTTAAAGTAAAATTTTTATTAATTTATCCACGTAATAAATTATTTAAAATTATATAATTTACAATCCTAACAAATTAGTGAGTCCAATAAGCGATAAACTTGAATCCTCGATAACAGGTTTCCCTTCGCGGTATTTTCGGAACGATATTAAAAAGGATTAACGTATCGTACTATACTGTCGTTTATAATTTTTATTCAATACAGTACAGTATAGAGATTGGACCCGTTGAGAAAATCTCTACTCGGGTATTATTAAATTACCCGGATTATCCGGGTATATTTCGGGTAATCGTATAGTAACAATTTCTACCCGGGTCCAGTACCCATTTACATTTTATCTAATGAAAAGGTGTACTGTACGGATACAAATATAGTACGCCTATATTTATGTACAGTACAGTACATTCAATAACAAAATACAGTGCGAAACTTCTACACCCCGTTATTCCTGTGCATAATAAAATCTTAAACAGGGGTTGAATTTGCATATATGAATTCTGAATTCTGAATCCAAAATTATAATGTTTTGATCTATCATCTATGTACAGTACATATGTGCTTGTTTTGCATCAGTACGTTATACTAAAAAAGTATTCGATAGTTTATATTTTAATACCTATCGAAGATTGTAATAACAGACATGCTTTCTTTTAAAATCTTATATACTGGTGTAACTAAACCAAATGGCCAATTATTAATATGCGTACCACTAGCATACATACCGATAAGATTAACCTTAAGTATGCCTAAAGAAAGCACATCAGTATACACGTACACAGGTGCACCACTATCCCCCTCCAACCCTATCTGGTCTGTTATTATCATATTCTCATATATAAATCCCTGCACATTTGCTACTGAGTTGATAGATCTTATCTTAGCACATGTGTAATGTGTGGTACGACCATATTTGCATACTTCCAATCCAACAATAGAATCATCTGCAAACATAGTACCGGCAATTCCTAGCTCTGGAAACTCTGGAGAAACAGTATTTAATATAAATGGTTTGACGTCGAAATTGCTAGTTTCCTTCAAGATGAATCCCCTATCAGTTCCATTGACATCTCGCATAGTCATTGATCCAATAAGATTTTCAGGCAAGATAGTGTCGGGAGCCCACCATGGTGCATAATAAAAGTCAATAAACCCGTGCCTATTTGTAGGGCCATTTATTCCACAATGCCCGGCAGTCGATAGGTATTTCAAGCCTCCAAAATTCACCCAAAAAGCAGCAGAACACTTGTAACCACCACGTTGAGTTAAGCCACTTCCACCTAAAAGTTCAATGCCTATTTGACGAGATTCTAGAGCCGATGGATTATGCGAACCAAAGGCCACATTTTTTGTAGATTTACTAACATCGACTATAATAGGGTTAAGTTTTTTAGCATTTTTAATAAATTTCTGGTTTAATTTATCAGAATTATCTAAATATATAACTATATTATTTTTTTTGTATTCTTTGCTTATTACGAAATTTTTCGCATTATAATGTTTTGCTAATCTAGTTAATTCTTTAAAATTGGAATTTAATTTAGCTAAAGAATTATTAACTTTTACAAAAGACAAAAAATTTAGGTATGGTTTTATCGTAGCGTTATTTGTTATGATTTTTTTCTTAGAATCGTCTACTGTATTGATAATTATTTTAGTTGCCTTCAAATCTATATAAGATCCACCATAGATTGACTCATTTAGTAATGGAATCAATAAACGATTTCCCTTGATTAACACTTCTCCTTTGGCCAATAAATCAGGTACTTCACTCGCTGGTACATTAAAACGTTTTGCTAATAATGAGAAATGAGATGAGTTAAGAGCATAGACTATCAAATGAGTTTGTAATATTAATAAAAATGGTAATAAATTTAGTATGATGTAAGTGTATTTCATATTGCTTAAGTTTTCAATAATTGTTTTCAATAATTGTCGCAGATGAAATTGAAAATGAGCTGAAACTGAAAATACCTTATTTTTTATAGAAAAATTTTAGGCCCGATTTTTTTTTTTAAATAACAAATATTACTAATTATATATTTAAATAGGTTGAACACACGACTTTCAGATGCTGATAAACATTGTTTAAACTTATTTTCACCCTTGTCCTTGATTTTCATATTCAGGAAACATGAACCCTGGGTATGGCTTCGCCATTCAATTTTTGAATAATATCTGATGTGGAATAAAACTATTATTGTAACGAATCTCATATCTCGAAGTGAATTGACCGAAAATTAATACAATCAATTACGCAAATTTGATTATACCATACAAGAAATCTTTAATTTTTATTGTTTATTTTATTGTTTTTTTTTGTATGTAAAATTTAGAATTCGTGATTGTATGTTTTAGGTTTCGCATGAGCTCAACCCTTTGAGTTGTGATTTGACCCGTCTAAAAAACCTTCACCCGGTCACCCGTCGGGTGGACAATAAGTCACCCGGGTGGAAATCTGGTCAACTTAAAAATGTCACCCACCCGGGTAATGTTGTTAGTCAAAATTGAAATTGTCTAAATGTCTAAATGTCTAAATTTATTTTTAATAGTAATTTTTTTAAAAAATGGCAAAGTCGAATTGCCTAAATTCAATTTGCTTAAATGCCTAAATGTCTAAATAATTTCGACTAACAACATTACACCCGGGTGGTAATATAACAAAGAATTACAGCTCTCTTCAAATTCTAGACACCTAATAAAAATGATTTTTGACTGATTCGATTAAGTTATTGATTTCGGCATGATTGATGTATATTTTTAGACGTAATACATCGGGATTAGCTAAAATTGTAATAATGTCATGAAACGTCTAGTTGACCAGTTTATGAAGCTTTCTGGATAATATCGAACAATATGAATCAAGACAAGTCAGGATGATATTGGAGTTTTTTCCTATAGAACAAATCGGCATGTAGATTATAAATGCATAAATATGATCAGTGATATAATCTTTTTTTGCGTCGTCTCAATAGGAATATATAGATCACATGACTTTGAGGACATAGCCTTGGCCTGGAAAAGAAGAGTCCAGATGCGGTTATAGTGTCCGGCCTGTGCAATTACATTTTTGACATATAAAATGCGTAATAAATTAATCTATTTTAATGTAACTAGTGCAAATAACAATATTGATTCATATCAATATAATAAAGATTAATGCACATAATATGTTTTTTTGCTAATTACTAGATGTTAATATTATACGACTATATTAAATCAAATTTAATCACTATTAGTATGTTTATCTTTCCCAATTTTTTATTTGCATTGATATTACATAGTCAGAATTTCTTACAGTATATTGCGTAAAAATACATTTTAAATTGCACGGATCTGGATACTCTAGATGCGGTATACAAAAATATACTATTTAATTTCGATATAGCCAACTTACAAACTAATAAATACATGCAAAAAAGAAATTTTCACATTTAAAACATATAGATAGATATGCAATATACGTACGCAGTAAATTGATATTTATTATTAATAAACCCAAACTCAAATTGATCAAAAAATTCAATATGCGAACAAATTATTAGCGAAACTATATTTATTATCGTTATACATATTTTGAAAAATAATTAGACTAATTCAATTTTATCTTTATTATCATGATTTATTAGAGATGTAACACGAACTTTAGCCATGTAATTAATGAAATGATAATACCCATTTATTCATACATATTATTAACCTACTACTTAACCCAAAGTTATTAATGTTTTGTTATATTCAGATAACATAAAATATGAACATTAGTACAAGCTTATTGTTATTATAATAGCATGTCAATTGATATGCATAGAATTCAAGTTAAATCTAGCATTTAGAACTTACATATGGTTAATATAACTAATACAGTTGACCCTCGTTAGTATCAACCTATTTATTTGGATCACCTTTATATTCATGTTGATAGTGATATTAATGAGAGTTTATATTAAAGTTGATATATATGAGGGAATTTTGATATATAAAAATTTATAAAGATTTGTTCTGTAGCTTAGGTTGATATTACCGCAGGTTGATATTAATGAGGGTCAACTGTATTATCAATAAATGGTAAAAAACATCCGCTTCTAAACGACGTTCTTGGGGTTAATGATTATTTTTGATTATTTTGCAGTAAATATAGGAGCTAGGAATGGGTTTTACAATGATTTTTTGTTAG